AGCCAGATGCGCCCACATGCTTGTTCCCCCCCGGACCTCCACCAATGATGGCGAGCGCCTGGCCGCTTCGTCATCGCGCTTTCTCCCTATTTCCCCTTCCATGGCGTGCGGTTTTAAAATACCCAGCGTTTATGAAACAGGAAAGCGTACAAAAAAAGCATGGAATCAATGCTGCTTTATTTGAAGATGTCCTACAAGTCTGTCACAACCCAGACTCACGGGGGAACCCGCGTGGAGACTGCAGACGGCGAATTCTCGATTTAGCTGGCGGTCTGCTACAGGCAAAGCACAGACCGAAACAGCTCCGACAGCACTTATGTACAATGGATGCACGATGAGCGAGCTAACTCAAAATGGACAAACCGTCAATTAGCCAACACCGTCCCTCACACCCCCGATAACCGCGTGTATCAACTACATTATGAAGTAAAGTGGAAACGGGAATGGAAGATGCATGGCTACTCATCCATGGCCAAACTTGATAGATGCCAAGGTCGTAGCGCTGGGCTTTCTACGACACCAACGTCCGGTGACGGGCTAAAGGGCTCAGGGGCCGATGCACGAATTTCCTGAGGGGGGTCAGGTTTGGTCAGGAGACCATATGTTTAGAAACCCCCCTCCTTCATTTTACGCCCTAAATTTTACCCGTGCAGAAATCAAGAGGGGGGTCAGGACATCTAACCCCCCCCCCCCTCCCCCCCCCCCCTCTAATTTCGCCCCTGAAAGGGCTGTCCAAACGGGACACAGTACCGGAAGCGGAGGCTTCCCTCCGGTTCCTTTTCGCTGTAATATGTTTTTTTTTTCTTATTACCGGAAGGAAAGCTACTTTCCGCTTGCATCCTTGGCAGGGGCTTGGTGTGCGCTCATCACACGAGTGCAGACAGCCACTCACACGCTCAGCTGGCGGTCCCTAATCTCCCGAAGACAGGGGAAACGACGACAGCGAGGAAGAAAGTCGTGCTTTACGTGTGGTTGATGTCCTCACTGAAAACGTACGAGCGCCGGAACTTTCAAGCTTTCCAAAAGAGCACAATTTTTGTTGTGTGTCCCGTTTGAACAGCCCTTTACAATGCAACAGAAATGCGCCGATTTCCAAAGGCAGAAAGCTCGCGCTGGTGGTAGAGCATTCGCTGCAATCGCAACATGCCACCGGCCATGCAGCTGGTCAGCATCAGTTTGGCTGGGACTTGTCCTCAAATTGAATGAGTCCCAGCTGAATGTCTACACAGCACTGCTGTTAAACCGTGCCCCAGCGCTACGGAATCGCTTCCTACGAGATGTTGCCCATGTAGGGTGCACATTCATGGTCTTGTGGGGAGGGGACGCCAAAGAAAGGTCAGAACTATAAAGTGATGATGGAAGTGAAGTCCAAGTTGAAGCTGAAATGTGCCAGTGGCCGCTCAGTTGGATTTCTTGCCATGACAAAACAGGTTACATAACTTGAAATCACTTGCAAGCTACCAATCACATTGCATAATATAGAAGTTCATGTACAGAGGCTGGAATACTTACGCTAGCGCGCCGAGCGAAGCAGCTCTTCGAGGGTGCAAAAAAAAAAAAAATCCGTCGACACTCATCGATGGTGTCTAATAGCCTGTTGCTGTGCAGCAAAAGGCTGCACTAACGCATCCGCTTGTCGGCATGGATGGAAAAATTGGAGCAAGAACTTTTTCTCATTATTGATAAATGTATGAAAGATTTTCGGTTGTAGAAAGAACACCCGAGGCAGATTTGTAGTTTTAATTGGAATACCATGTTGTGATATTAGTCTCTTCGGCAATTCGTCTTGCAGCGGTTCTCAAATGAGGGACCCCGGACCCTTTGGGGTCCGCGAACGCATCCTAGGGGTCCACGAAGCCCTGTCTCATCATATAAATCGGGCAATAAAATTTGTCTTTTTTTAAATTGATGTTCCAATTTCGGGGTTCGTTTTCTCATGTGTTTGTCAATGAGAGAAGTCTAATTAGCACTAGCCCTTAGTTATATTCATTTATTAAATCATTATCATGATTAATCTATACCTTACCCTTCCCTTCACCACAAACGGGGTCCTCCGTCATCTCCGCCGATCCTCAAGGGGTCCACGAAACATCAGTGATTGAAAACCACTACTCCATAAAAAAAAATGGTTAGATATTGCAAAGCAATGCTGGCTCGTGCATAATTCCGGGAAATACGTAGTAGACAACAATCAAGTCGCCTGCCCTCAGAGGTGATAGTGGATATGCAGTCTGCTGCAATATCATGCGGTAGATTCAAAAGAAGTGTGATTTCAATGAAAAAAGGCATCATATATCCATTCCTATCTTTTGTGTTGTTTTTATCGAAATGTGTCTGAACATTCCTGCCAGCTCTTCCTTGTCAATTTCCTTGAAAAATCATTTTGGACTTGTGAGAAATCATCAATAATCCCCTCCCCACAAGTCTACTTTCAAAATTTGAAGCGCCCCATCGCGGCGAAATGTCACGCAGTGCACTCTGGGAACTAGTTGGCCACTCAGTTTCGGTTTCGATTGTGTAGCCTCAATTCGTACAATCACGCAGTGACCAAATGCGCTGCTTACATTTTCAATTCCGACTTCCCAAGAATTTACAATACTGTCATTCTCAAGAGATAAAGAAGAAAGACCGGGGCACTTTTCTTGGTTCCCGACATGCCAGATATTGTGCATGTGTACGCAAATGCAGTAAGACCTGGTGGCTAAGTCAATGCACCGTGCGATTGTATCTTTAAGCTCAATTTCAATACTGACTAATACCGGTGAACAATAACTGAATTTTGGTCACTTTGAGCCCTACACATATTTTGTTTGCCAAATGTCAACTTCTAGTTACTTCATTGGGCGAAAAACAAGCTCCACCTTCACAGAAGTCCCAAAGTTAGCGCATAAACTTTTAAAGGGACACTACAACAAAATTTTAACACTTATTTCTTGGTCTATTTGTGTTCAAGGGAGCATTATCACATCAGACACACCAATCTCTTGTTGAAAAAGACACCACAAGGAATTTTAAAACGAATTAAACGATTAGCAAAGACCACCTGGTGGATGTCGCTAACGCCTCGTTTGCAATGCCCGTCTAGGAACCTTGACAGATAGGGACGATAACTGTCTCGCCTCCGGCCACGACGAGAGAAGAGCTGAAAGAGGAACTCCCCTCTTTCCAAGACTTTCTTTTGTGTGTCCCAGAAGTCACTATTGTCCCTCTACCAGATTATAGAAGATTCACCCGTCACTCAAAATTCGTACAAGGGCAGATTTGGGGTTACTTGCGGTGGCCGATAGCTGGTGTGCTTCGGCTGCTTTCAGCAGATGCTATGAGCCACCAGGGCCTATCCAAGGCCGTGTAAATGTCACGCGACCTTGGAGAGGGGGCACAGCAACGCGCGTAAAGCGTATCGCAGGCTACGTCTACAGAGCGGGATTGGCTGGGATAGCTAGCAGTGTCCGCTGCGTTCGGACGTAATGTCCCGAGACAAACTACGTCATGATTGCGGTGGATGTGACGTGCTCTCCGCTGGCTGCTCTCCGAGCGTTTGCCAGAGTGGGCCGTTTCTAACGAAAAATACAGCCGTTAGGCTCAAAATACAAACGTGCAATTGTCATTTACGGATATTGTTGATCATATTCAGCCTATTTGTGAACACGACGGGTATATTTCAAATTTCGTTGAACTATCCCTTTAAGGAAACATACTTAATTCTATCTCACTACTGCACAAAAGTTACTATGAAGTCTTGCAAATGCTGAGATCGGCTAGATAGAACGAAGGCCCTAACGAGCGTCCTCTACTCCACGCTAAGCCTTTTTGGACGAGCTTGTACCAACGCCCAAGATCTGTGTCTGAACGGTGTGTCTGAAATTATCTCGGCATACTCAGTCAGGAAGAAAGCAAACATATAACAAATGTTATGGCCATTATCAATTAACTGTCAAATGTGCTTTGAATCCTTTTGTTCGTGTGGTGCACCGCATAGTAGTGATGCAAAAATATCGATAAATTGACTATCGATACTATCAATAGTTTTTCCAAAACTATCGATAGTGCCGCAGAACTATCGATAGTTTTTGATAGTTGACTATCGATAGGTTTTCTATGGTCGACTATCGATAGTAGTATCAATAGTTTTTTGATAGTCGACTATCAATAGTACTATTGATGGTTTTTCGATAGTCGACTATCGATAGTACTACCGATAGTTTTTTTTTACTATCGTTAGATTTCTGGCGACTATTGGTACTATCGATAGTTTTGCATCACTAGAGCGAACACAGTTGCCGCACCGCCGCTTGCCTCCTTCCGTCTGTCTTCGCCCAAACTCCCGTCTTTGTCATCACTGAAAGCTGAACCAAAGTTAAGAAGGTAAGTGCTTGGGCTAGTTGGTGTCCCATTTGAAAAAAATAAAGCGAGAAAAAGAGAAGAGGGAGCGACGCAAACTACTAGTGTCGCAAAACTATCGATAATAAACCGTCGACAGTACTATCAATAGGTCTACGATAGTCCGGTAACGATAATTTTTCGATAGTTGACTATCGATAGTACTATCCATAGCTTTTCGATAATCGACTATCGTTAGTACTATCGATAGTCTTCGATAGTCGACTATCGATAGTTTTTCGATAGTCGACTATCAATAGTACTATCAATAGTTGACTATCGATAGTCAGATTTCTTGCGACTATCAATATTATCGATAGTTTTGCACCACTACCGCATAGAGCTTCACGCCCATATACATTCCATCCAACGAATGTTGCGACATTCTTCACACATGTGTTTGACTGTTGCTTTCTTAAAAACGGTTTGCATGTGTGAATGTGCCTTATATGATTGCGGGATAACTTCATGTGCATACGTGATAATGAATTTGTAGAATGCAAGCGGGTGGGGGACTTCGTGCAGTGCTCCAGTCAGTACTGATAAGAGATAAAAAGTGTGTTGAATTTTAGCTTTCCAATGGCGTCTGAATTTTACCTCGTGCATATTAAGAAAAGCAGTAATTGTAAAAAGGTATATTTCGTCAATGAATGCACAAAACAAGTAACAAACTTCCTGACCAGCAACACTAATGTAAAGGTGCGAGGCTTGGTGTATGCATACTTAATGGTTGTTACAGCGTGTTGACTCATACAAAAGCAGCTTTGCAGCGTCGAGATTCCCAGCACTGGCTTGTCCACATACCTTAAAACGCGAACAGAAAGGCTGAAGTACAAAATTACAACAAGCATGTGTCAAGACAAACATTACTTATGGTTCGGGCTTGTGCTAAAGCTTCGAGGTTTGACCACTTAGGGTAGTTTAGAGACCAAAAACGAAGCACTCGGGACCAGGAAACATCAGATAACGGCTGTTAATAGTTCACGCTCTGTGTATGATCTCTTGTCGATGCGCCGATCGAAAACGAAGCCATGCCACTCTTCTTCCTGGACAACTAATTCCCAGAGTGCAACGCGCCCAGTGTTGCATGCAGGGATTTATGGAAGTAGTCTATTAGGCCATCATGCAATGCTCATGTCAATAAAGTTTTTTCATTAATGAATTCAGACACATTTAGAAAGAAAGACAATATGCAATATCATTCTGTATGCATAGTTTCTTATTATTAGTATAATTCACTTTGCTATTTCGGTTGCTTTCTGCAACTGTTGATTCCGCCCACAACATGTTTCAACATCATTTTATTTTACCAAATATATTGTTAGAGTGTTTTTGATGCCTCATACAAAGGGCCTTTGGACACAAAGCAATACGAGCAGTCTTGTATATTTTTAAACTAATTATATTCGGTCACAGGTTAAGAATTAAAGGGAACTCCTCTCGCCACTTTCCACATACTTTAGCAAAGCGAATGCTAGAAAAGAGGCAAATTCCTCTCCAGCGTTTGGTCTGCTCAAGTGAAAAGTGGTGGGAGGAGTCCCCCTGAACTCTTAACCTCTCACTGACTATAGATCTTTATACACAACAAAGAAATTATGTTGCCACTAGCTCAGAAAAAAATCTGCAAATACTAAGGAACACTAGCAGCCGCTCCGCACAGGAGTGAGTAATCCATCCTCCGCAGCCAAAACGCTGTCCTTACGCCAGTGTAGTCCGTGGGTATTTCGTCCTAAACCGCAAATGACGAGAGATTCGGGCTATGCGAACAGGGTCGCTGGCTCACTTCCCAGATGGCTGACCTAGATAAGATGCGAAATCATCCGCCAAAATCACCTTCCGAAGTCGTCTGCCAACAGTCATGTCCACTTCCCACGCTACAGGACCGAAAAGAAAGAGGATCGGGAAAGCAGACAGCGAGAAGCCAGGACAGAAGCCCTTACGAGATTGTCCGGCAAGGTGCCATGAGCCAACGATGAGGTGGAAACAGCGCGAGTGATGCACTCAGACTTCGCCGAAGCCCAGGTGGCCCGTCTCGGCAGCGTGCTTCCTCGCCTGGTCCTGCCCGACGAGCCCCATGTCGCATGCGAGGCATCGCAGCGTGAAGTTGCGCACATCTGTGTACTGACGGCTGGCCTTGGCTTCCCTGGCCAGCTCAAGGGCCAGGGCCAAGACCGTGTCGTCGTGAGCCGAGAAGAGCGTCTGCGGCGGCCTTCCGGGCTCCAGGGGCTCGAGGACCAAAGGGTCGTAGTGGATGCCGTCGTAGAGGAGCAAGATGCGCTGGTCATAGCCGCGGTCTTCGCCAAAGCGGTGAAGGCGGGCGCTCTGCGCGTCCACGGCGACCATCTCGAGGTCGTAGTGGCGGCTGAGCACGGCCAGCTCGATGGCCCCACCCCAGTGGTCCTCGTTGAGGATCCAGGTGCAGTATTCTCGGTTGGGGCGTCCCAGGAAAGCTTCTGTGTATGTCTCGCGGTCGGCGGCCACGGCATCTGCTATTACCTGCAATGAGGGGTCTCGGTGTTGGGATGGCTATGGCTATGGCTGTTGGGTAATGGTTATGGCTGTGGCTATGGCTGTTGGGTTACTGCAATACTTATGACTGTTGGGCAATGGCCATTGGGTTGGTGATGGCTACAGGGTGTCTATCAAGTTGACATTTTCAAATTTCCTGAGTTTTCCAGGTTTTCCCTGAGTACTTTTGTGAAATTCCCTGAGTGACACAGAACTTCGTTTTAGCTCAAGATGGGCTGACACCAAGTCGCCAGATGCTGTCACTCTCTAAAGAGCATGTTATAAAATAAAATAAATGACATAATACAGTTTTAATGGTAACGAGTAACTTTTATTAGATTCAAAAAGAAAACGGAACGGAGTGGTTAGTAAAATTCATAGCAAATAAAATATACAAAAAGTAAACTGAAGTTTACGTGACCCACCCCCTCCCTTTCTTTCTTTCTCCCTCTCTCCCTCCCTCCCTCCTCAACTCCCCCCGTGAGGTCATGTGACCTCGGGGAGGAGGGGGAGTCAGGTGACCTCGGGGGGGGGGGGGGTCACGTGACCTCAGGGTTAGGCCGATGGCGAAGCCGCTCAAGCCGGAAACAGGCACCCAAGAGCTGCGCTCTAAAAGAAAAACGGAAGTGATAACGAGGAAAGAAAAAGGTGAACAAAGATAAGGCGTTCAAAGCGCGATTGCTCAATTTTTGTTGTCAACACACTCCACTTAAAGGAGCTGTGCAACGATTTTAACGTTGAAAGAATTGGCATCTTCTGCTTTTGATATTGTTCACCTTGTCACAAATGACAGAAAACACACCCCCTTTCATCGAAATGTTGCGATTTCGCCGCGTAATCGCGAGGTAAAAATTAGAATATTCCCAGACCTGCAGCCGCGAGCGGCCGCCATGGGAAACACGCGCGTGACGTCACTTGGGTGCCTGTATAAAAGATATAAAGTTCTGCAAATACCTTCTCAATAAAGGGTATCTTTTCCATAAATATTGCCGTCCCAACAACATAAATGCTTGAAAAACGTAGTATCAATTACAGAAATTTTTAGTGGCGCCATCTACCCGAGGTCAATAAAACCGACAGCTCGAGCAGCATCAGCGGCTGCTAGCACGAGGAGCCGAACGAGCGCTTTGGTTTGGTTTTCCGCCGTGTCGATCTCGACTTCGAACGTCGCCGCTCGGCAATGCCGACCGGGTGCTCCGTTCTCCTGTGTCCTAACCGGACTGCACAAAGCCCTCTTGTCCGTGCTAAAAAGCTCCAGTTCCATCGTTTACCACGCGAAGAACGTCTCAGAAGTGAGTGGTGTGGAAGGATTGGTAGAAGGGACCCTGGACAGGCAGACGTGCGCGTGTGCTCCGAACACTTCCACAGCGACCGCGACTACCGTCGCCTGCCAAGTGTTCTTCGCGATGCCGGGCAGACGATGAAGAACGTCTACCTGAAGCCAGATGCTATTCCTTCGCTCCGACTGCCCCCCACTGCGAAGCGCCTCTCCCCTGCCAAGGACCCAGCCGTGCCAACGTCGAAGCGCCGAAGAACTGAGGTAAGTGTCGCACGTTCGCGAGCGGCACACGGTCGTGAACCTTTCGAGCACAGGTTTACGAACATTTTTGCTTTTGCAGAACGATGAGCCGGTGGAGGTGGATTGCTTCGAGAGGACCACACCTCGCGAGCACAGCTGTCATTGTCGTCACCGACCGGCGACACGCGACACAGCGGTCCAGGCCGACCTGCATGAAAATCCGGGACCCGCACAGACTCCGAGGCCGCCTGGCACGAAGGACAGTTCTGTGGGCACAGACCGATGGCTGGGAAAGCGATCTACCGGTACGCATCAAAAAAAGCCGCCTGTATTCGCGTGCTTGACGTCATATTGCAGGAGAAACTGTAGGAAGGGTCTTCATTGCTCTGCCAAGTGCCTTCCGACGGCACTCCACGCGAATATTGACAATACTGCGCGAATGTGCTTTTTTTTTTTTTTTTTTTTTCGCGTTTGCATGGTGTTTTTGTTTTTCTATGCGGTTTCATTTTGCTTCGAGCTCAAACGATTTTGAATTCCTTCTTGCTGTGGAAAGTGTCGAACATTGCGTCCAAAACTCCACCTTTCATGTGTTTACGGGAAGAAAAAGAGAGGAAGGGGTAATGCATTCCAGAATGTAACACTAGCCCACGCCATGACATCTACTGCCCCCAGAACTTGTGGACAAATTTCGAACGAGCATATAAAGTGCCCTCAGATGACGCATATGAACACACTTGATGGTACACCAGCAACAGCATAAATTCTACGCAAATTTAGTACTGTACTATTTCTTAATTTAACTGGGACATGAGGGATGTAGTCTTATTCCTTCTTGTCGTTAGGCCAGGTAAACCCTATAAACGTGCTGCTGCTTGTTGTAGGTAACTAGATAATAATAATAATCTCTAGCAAAGGTAGCGGTACACTAGGTGACCTGCAAAGCTAGACAGATAGGCTGGAGCCCTTACTTATCAGCGTTTGCTAGCCAGCCAGCCGAAGCAATAGAATGCAAATTAAAACAAATAACGAAACAAAGGAGAGGCAGGTAACACCGCCTAGATACAAAGTCCCAGTGCCGGAGCCCCCAGCACCATTCGGGACGGGAAAACAGAATATTTTTTCCAGCCGAGCCCAAATGCCATGCCAGCGCGACTGAGACACTTTCAGCCGAGCACCGGCGCAATACTCTCACCAGGCCCACACCACACACCGCCTAACTGCAGCCAATGCAGGGGGCCGGGGTCTGGGCCCTGTATCCAGGCGGCATTGCGGAAGGCACATGTTACCTTGAAAGCTAACACGAAAGTCAGTGTGCATGCACAGCCCTGGTTGGCCTTCACCTTCTTTGACTTTCCATTGTATTTCACTCTCCAGGTCTAGGTTGTCGTTTATTTCAATGAGGAATAACCAAAAAATTTTTACTATTCGAGCGTGTTGGTGCTTTTCAAAACATTTAGGAAGTGGAGACACATAAGGGACGTCCCTTATGTGTCTCCACTTTCTAAATGTTAAGAAAAAAAATGTTACTGCTAGAATGCCATTTTGTGGAGGCTTGTACTAGTCAAACACGATGAAGAGTCGGATAAGTAAACCTCTTTTTGCCCTTCAGGCACGCAGTGGAATGCCTACGCCAAAGGTATCACCGCCCACTGGGTACAGACCGAGGACTTGGAGACACCCGACAGTAGCAGCACCACTGCCGGCAGCAACAGCACAACCACTGCCGCAGCCTTCGCCTCCACCACCACTACCTCTGCAGTGCCACCGCGAAGACCGGGCCCAGCATGTGCAATGAGCCCTGTCCTCAGTGATTCGGACGAGGAGGAGGAGGAAGAAGAGGACGACGACGACGGCGACGACTGCGACGATGACCCTCTGTGGGAGCCACCCACCAAAGGAGGCTTTGTCGAGTAAGAATGGTTTCCTCTTGGGATGAGGCAGGCTAATTATGAATGAACATTTACAGCTGGCACCAATATGTGCTGGCACATGTCTTGTGCTAGCTGAATTGATCAAAATGCCGCTTAGGCTGCCCCTTGCATGCCGAGTCACAGAACCAAACACCACAATGCAGCAGTAAGGGACCTAGTGCTCCTAGCATGGCATTATTGCCTCCTGCCTGAGTACCCTTGTTCCAGCTTGTACTGCTGCTTAATTTACCAATACAACGGATCAAGAGCAGGCCATAGCAAGAAGAACGAGAAGTGTTCCACACGACTGTGGTGGCTTTGCTATTGATTGCAAACCTTTCGGGTCGTATGTTTCACAGCACAGAATTTTTTTTTTCTTTTCAAGAACAGGTAGGGGTAGTTGCCAGTGCTTTGCAATGGTTTCACATGCTAACAAATATACGAAAAGACAACATCAAATTGTGATCCCAACTTATTTTATGTAAATATCAATCTGAATTTTAAGGGACCATAAATAACAAATAAATAAACTTGACTAAACCATTTTGCAAATTCTTTTTGGAAGTTTGTTATAAGTAGGGTTCATCTTGGACCGAATGTTTCTGAAATTGTATTAGTGAACGGTTCAGAAAATGAACAAGGCAGCATTGCTCCTTTAGTTTTTGTAAGCCAAGCACAGAAGTGACTGTTGATCAGTAAGCACTCACAACTTTTCCAGGAGTGCCACCACTGTGTCCGGAGAGCCAGACTACAAAGAACGAAAGTTCCTCGTGTTTGAGAGCAGCCTGCGGCAGTTGTTTGCGGTCTGCCAGACGTGCTACAGCCCCTGCAGTGTGTCACTGAGCACGATTGGCACGCTCCTGACGGTGCACACCTCTTGCCCCGCTGGGCATAAGAACCGTTGGGACAGTCAGCCCTACATCAACGGCAGGCCTCTGGGGAACCTCCTCATCACCAGCTTCGTCCTGTTCACGGGGGCCTCCCCAACCATCACGCTGCGCCTGCTCCGCCTAATGAACATCGTGGTGATCTCAATGAAGACATACACAAACTACCAGCGGGCAATTTTGATCCCAGCTGTTGAACAGGTGATTATGATGCTATCTTATGAGCATTATCTGACATGCTTTTGTATCCCAATGCAGTGTTTGACCACACTGCTTGCTAAAGTACCAAGCATTTTACTTTTATCTCCCACAGGTGTGGGAGGAGGAGCAGGAGAAGCTGTTGGGAGAGCTCCGTGACCAACCCCTTGACCTTGCTGGTGACGGGAGGTGCGACTCCCCAGGCTACAGCGCAAAATATCTGACGTACTCTCTTCATGCACCCCACGTGAACAAGATCGTTCACTTAGAACAGGTTCAGGTAGGAGAGGTAAGGAAGGGATCCATCGTCCTCATTACAATAACATGTAATTTTGTGAAACAGAATTAATACACTCAGTTGCACAGCAAAGCTTCTAACTAAACCTAATGCTTTTGGCACTTTTTGTGTTTGGCAATGTCATTTGGCACTGTTGTGACCAAAGCCAGGTCGTCGTGGCTTTCGGCAACTTGGAGTGATTCTAAAAAACACAAGCAGGCAGCTTTTATTTTTTTATACTTCGGGTTTTTTTGAAAAAGATTAAATTTCGTTTCTTGTATTATGGTCACCCGCAATCTTCGGTAGACCTTTTCTGCTTCAAACATTTCTTGCCCTTTCACCCACCATGTGTCTCTACGGAATGTCACAGAAGTACTTGACCCACAGAGTTCACAAAGCTCTTGTTCCAGACATGTATAGCATTGGCCCGATGAATTGGCCTTTCTAAACAGGTTGCAAGAATCTGTTTGTCAGTGTTATATGCATTCTATGGTGACAGTGTTAGCAGACTGTGCTTGCCTACTTGGATGTGCTACCTACAGATGTCAGAAGCATCGAGGGTGTGCCTAGATAACAGACAATCTTCTGAAAGCTTCTGATGTGTCCTTTAGTGCAGTATGTGTCTGTAATTTATTCAAGCTGCGGTGTTTTAGCCCCATTTCTGGTATGGGATGTGGCGTCGCAAGGTGCTGCATCCTCGTGTCTCAGGTTGCACCATTCATTGGCAGCACCTCCAAGTAGGCAAACACCACCTGCCAGTACTAAATCTCAGTGCAATACATTGAATTTTGTGGTCTGTTTAGAGGTCAGATTCAGTGGGCCCACACTGTATAGTATTGATGCGTTCGCAGCTTTTGAGGCATAGCCGGGCGGTTTGCCTATATGGTTTGGACACCGTAGCGTGGGGTTCAATTCCCAGCAGCGGACACATTTTTAATTCTTATTTTATTTAGGGTACTGGGAGGACCCAGAACAATCTCGAAAGTTCTTGTTTTAGTCTGTTGGCACATCTGTTCTTCTTGAACTATCTATACCCGTTTTCACCTCAAGAAAAAAACAAGTTTTGCACATTGTTCATATGCAGCGCAAAGTAGTTCTTATGAGATTTAGTTGTCGGAGGAAAAAGCAATGCTTTTGGCTTTTGGAGTGTGTACGGCTTAATAAGATAACATATATCTAACCTACAATTCACCCACAAATTCTCCTACATAAAGGGGGAAGTTAATGATGCTCAGCGAGAAGCCGGATTTTTTTTTACTAGTGTTCTTCACGTGAAAACGGGTTTAGTAGGAATGTGGTAG